TTGAAGATGATGAAAATAAAAGAAGGTTATGAACGTTGAATGAAGAAAGTTTAAATGTTGTAAAAAAAAAGATGTTGGTATTTATAGTAGTTGATGAAAGGTTTAAAATTTAAAATTTAGAAGTAAAAAAACGGTTATGTTTAAAAAAATATGTTTCTTTTTGAAATATGGTATTTGTTTAAAATGGTAAAAAAATACCTAACGTCCCTCTCTTTCATCGAAAGCTCAATGCCGAATTCCTCCACTAAAGTCGGCATGGCGAGTGTTTGCCGAGTCCACATGAGTCTCATCTTCTTAGCCATTATCGATACGACTCCCTATACAACCTATCATAGTGTAGGTTTTCGTTCCCCTAATAAGTTGAAGCCGAAATGTGATCATCTTTGTCTCATTTCATTACTTGATCTATAAAAGAAACATCCGAAAAATGGGGTTAATATTTGCTTAAATACATACCCCATTAATCATATTTTTATTAACAAAATTAAATTGATAAGTATCTTCTCCAAGAATACGTATCAAAACAAGATTGTATAAATGATTTACGAAACAAACAAATAAGAAAAGATAAGGTCAATTGTATCCTAATTCTAATAAATAAGTAGAACTCTGCCACGTGTCACTCTCTAAGACCCCCAAAATCGAGTTTTCCCGCTCATTTATTCATCTATATTTACGTAAATGCCATTCAATCCAAATTAAATCAAAATTCAAATTGATGCAATAAATCCGGAAATTAGCAACTTAATCGCAAAAAATCAAGAAGCAATCTCAAAATTTGAATCGGATACACTCCAAATTTGAATCGGATACACTACGCATTTTGTGGATTTCTATTTTCTTCGAACGCGTTTATGTATCACAAATCATGCAAATGGGCAAGCTTTCATTAGGAGGCGTAATTCTAGAAAAAAAATCACTATGTTGCATATCAACCTAAATCACAGCTAGGACTACAAATACATCTCCAAGGAAGCTGATCAGTTATCAGCAACGATTTCTCATTCGACTTCCGGTTAGTATATTTTATTATTTGATTTGCTTCGTCATCGTGTATTTCTCTCTTCCCTCGTATCCACTTTTCTATCTCAACTCAAAATTAGTTTTGTTCTCACTCAAATCTTCGGATTCTGATGCTTCTGTTCCAAAGCCTAATACCAAAGTGCTGAAAAATTGGTTGCTCAAACATCAATTCCTCCAATGATGATGAAGATTCAATTTCTCCTAATTTTCAGGTAATTTTATTAAACCCTCTTGCTTCGGCTTGATTCAAAGAATAATTTGAATCATGTAAGTTAATCTGAGTTTATACGAGAAATTCATGTGCTGCTCCAAATGGGTTGATTTGTTGTTATATATTTGTTGCTCCATATGGGGATTTTCCTACTACAACTCAATGAAGCTGTTAAGTGTTGTACCAGAAGAACACAATAAAAATTGGCATCCAACTTTATTTGAAGAGTGGTTTTTGTTGTGTAATTTGCCTTCAGATAAATCTTTGTTAATGTTTTCGTTTACAGAAGTAAGCTGAATTGGATTGTAAAGCTATTTTTGCAAGCCTCACACGAAAAAGTTAACAATTGTTGATAGCAAGACGGGTGAGAGAAAAGATAGCAGGTATGTTGAAACACTTCTTAATCTCTCTAAAATTAGTATTACCTGCCGGTTCCACCGTTTGTTGGTATTAATTTGTTTTTCCTCTATGAATCCCACCTTCTGATCACATGTCTTTTGATTTGTTTGGCTTGTGCGACCACAGGAAAGAGGGAGAAAGGATTGCAATCGATTTTGTGTTTTCATTGACTGGAATATAATAACCGATATATAGAGTGAAGGAAGATAGTATTTTGCATGTGGGTTTTCGTCTGGGTCACAACAATTGCGATTTGTAGGTCACAACAATCGTCATTTGTGTAGAGGATGGTAGTGGAATTCAGGAGTTCAATGTGACATCAAAGTAAGTTACAGTTATGTTCAAATGCTATAAAATCACCAAAATCAATTTGAATTTAATGATTTATATATTTATGTAAAGGATGGTAGTGGAATTCAGGAGTTCAATGTGACAATGAAGTGGAGCCTACAAAGAAGAGAAGTTATCTAACATCAAAATCAATCTGAATCTTGGTAATTTATACATATTATATTTTTATTGTTGCAACTATTGACAATTTTGAATGTCCATAAAAGCATTTTTTTTCGAAAACTAACCAATATATGCATTGCACTTTCATTTTTTTTTCAAAACCTAACCAATTTTAGCATTGCACTTTGTATTTTCTTGAAAAACTAACCGGTAACAGTTTCATTTTCCTTTTAAAAACTTACCAGTTTTAGCATTGCAATCTTAAATTTCTTTAAAAATTAACCGTTTTTATCATTGCATTTCCATTTTTTTTAAAACCGCTTTTCGCATTGCACCAATAAGCCATCAGTACGAGTTGTCCAAAAAAAAGAAATTTTTTCGTTAGTTGTTGTTGCTTAGCCTACTCAATTGGCCTCGACCTTACTGCTTTTTTTTTCTTAATTGTTTTTTGTAATTGAAATCAATGCATTGATATTGCTAATAATACAAATTTTTTTCAAGTTGACAGCAAAGAACAGGTTCTAATAACACAATTTTTTTTCAAGTTATTGAAATCACTGCATTGATATTGCTAATAACACAATTTTTTTTTCAAGTTGAAGGTATTAATTTTAACTTTGGGCATATATGAGGTATGAATCTGGATCTTCGACTCCATTTTGATTTTTATTATGAATCATGATTTTTATTTTCGTTTTTTTTACTGATTTAGAAGCTATGTAAATTTATATATTCATTAGAAAGGTCTAAATGAAGGCAATGATTGAGATGTGAGCGTATCAGATTTAGAAATTATTCAACCGATTTCTTGGGTTCCAGCATCAATTATTTTGGTGATGAAGGTAATTGGGTTTTCAGGGTGTATAATCCTTAATCAATTAAAGCATGGGAAAAAAAGCTAACAATACGTATTTATTCCTTAGAGATTATCGTTTTAATCATTTTCATCGAAGGGCAAAACTGTCACTTTTTTTGTATAAATAAGGTTGATGATTTTTATTATGTGATTACATCCATTTAGATCAAGTGCAATGTCATCAATCTTTTAAAACATTATTTATGAATTGTTAATGTGTTTTTTAGATTCAACACCAATTAAATGAAGAACACCTTTAAGGTGTCTAAAGGTATCATCATCTCTTCCTGTTCCCGATCACATACATATATTTAATCTCAAAATTGTTACCAGAGATTTCAAGTGGTTGTTTCTTTTTGACTTATTGGGTTAAGCCAAAAAAATCCGGTTTAATGTATTTAGAGTTTTAAGATATTAATCATTTAGCTATTTTCCATTCTTTTTTTTTCCTCCCAACTCCTATCATTAAAATTGATGATTACTAGACTACAGATTTTGTGCATAACCAATTCTTACACTTGGAACAACAGATTTTGTTAAATGGGAAGATAACTAGACTAAATTAACAAAGGATGGCGGTCATGCAACTCAATTTGAGCACACTATTTTGATCACAAAAACTGGGGTAGAAATTGACAAAATGTTGAAGCTTTTTACATAATTTTTGCACATAATAACATAAAAACTCAAAGAGAGGTTTCAATATTTGTTTATTTTAGTGATTTTCCGTTAATATAGTGACTAATTACAAAAGTTATAGCATTGTACTTTGAAAATACATTGTTGTAATTGTTATCTTTTACTTTTGGTTATCCAAATTATAGCAATGTACTTTCAAAGTACAATGCTATAATTAGGAATCTATCATTTGGCAATGTACTTTCAAACAAGTCATCCGAAATTTAATGTTCTATAATTAGGTTTGTCACTAAAATGTTATGGAAGATAAAACAATGTGAATATTATTTCTTAGTTTTTATAGATTTACATGTATTTGAATTTTGTTATTTATTTTTTATACTAAGTCATTTATCATTTATTATTGTTAATTTAAGTAATCAACCCTGTGTATTACACGGGTTTTAACCTAGTTATTTAACATAAGTAAACTCTAAATATTTTGTCAATTTACAAACACCAAACAAATTTATACTAAAGGAAAATATATTTCAATTTTATTCGAAATATTAATTCTGGAAACCCTGATTTCCAAATCTTTCGCATATTCTATATCGTTAATAAATTCCAAAAAACAATTCTACAACCACAATTCAATTCATCGGCTGTACCCTAAAATCATACCGATTCCAGGGTTTTGTGTTCTTCTTCTTCCCGTTCTATACTCTGTTTCTGGTAATGTATCATGTAAAATTGTAGGCTTCGCTTGAATTATTTATTTTGATTTGTTGCAATGTCTGTTCGTTCGAATGATTTATGTCGTTTAATCTGCATATTTGTTCATGCATTCTAATTTGTTCACATTAGCAATAAAAAGACAACCTTTTGTTTGAAGAACAGAAATTCACTTTGCGTCAGAACTTCACATTGCTTCTTAATTATCCCCATTACTACAACTAGTTACGCTTCTTAATCAACATCAATCTTAACTTTGTGATGATTATCCTTGTATCTGTCAATAAAACATTCTAAACTTTGTGATGATTTTTCCAATCATTTATCTTGAAAAATGTATCTGAAGAACAGAGTAATCTAATTTTACTTCAAAAATTTTGTTATCAAGTTAGCAACAAGACTTCACCACCTTTGTATTTGAATGGTATTATGAGATTTCTGATATAATGACTTGTTTTGATGCAGTTTTGGCATAAATATTCAGACATGGTGCAGTATAATTTGAAGAAAATCACAAGGGTACCCACAGAGAAAGATTTTGTAGACGTAGTCCTCAGTAGAACCCAAAGACAAACCCCAACAGTTGTTCACAAAGGCTATGCAATCAATCACATTAGGCAATTTTACATGAGAAAAGTGAAGTTCACACAAACGAATTTTCACGAAAAGCTCTCCACCATTGTAGACGAGTTCCCAAGACTCGATGACATTCATCCTTTCTATGGCGACCTTCTTCATGTCCTTTACAACAAAGATCATTACAAACTCGCCCTTGGTCAAATCAACACAGCAAGAAACCTCATTGGGAAAATAGCCAAAGATTATGTCAAGTTATTGAAATATGGCGACTCGCTTTACAGATGCAAAGCCTTGAAAGTTGCAGCTCTTGGTAGAATGTGCACAGTGACAAAAAGAATTGGGCCAAGTTTGGCTTATCTAGAACAGATCAGACAACACATGGCTAGGCTTCCTTCTATTGACCCAAACACTAGAACCATTTTGATTTGTGGGTATCCGAATGTTGGAAAGAGTTATTTCATCAACAAGATTACAAGAGCAGATGTCGATGTACAACCTTATGCTTTCACTACAAAGTCTCTGTTTGTTGGACATACTGATTATAAGTATTTAAGGTATCAAGTGATTGATACACCAGGGATTCTAGATAGACCTTTTGAGGATAGAAATTTGATAGAAATGGTTAGTATAACCGCTTTAGCACATCTCAGAGCTGCTGTTTTGTTCTTTCTTGATATCTCTGGTTCTTGTGGATACACTATTGCGCAACAAGCTGCTCTTTTTCATTCGATTAAGTCGCTTTTCATGAATAAGCCTTTGATAATCGTCTGTAATAAAACGGATTTGCAATCTTTGGAAGGGATTTCGGAAGATGATAAGAAGTTAGTCGAAGAGATGAAGTGAGAAGCAATGAAGACTTTGGTTGTAGATGGTCAACAAGTGTTGTTGACCATGAGTACTTTGACTGAAGAAGGTGTAATCGCAGTAAAAAATGCAGCTTGTGAGAGGTTATTGGATCAGAGAGTTGAAGTCAAATCGAAGTCAAAGAAGATGAAAGAATATCTGAATCGGTTCCATGTTGCAATGCCAAAACCACTTGAGGAAAGACCGGTTTGCATATCTGAAGGTGTTTTTGAAGCTAAAGCCATGGAAGCTGAAAAGGTGAAGAGGAAGCTCGAAAGGGAGAATGAGAATGAAAATGGTGGAGCGGGTGTTTACTCTGCAAGTTTGAAGAAACATTATCTTTTAGCTGATGATGAATGGAAGGAAGATAACATGCCTGAAATACTCGATGGGCATAACGTGTATGATTTTATCGATCAGGATATTTTACAGAGGCTTGAGGAATTGGAAAAAGAAGAAGAGCTTCTTCAAGAACAAGGAGATGGAGAAGATGAAGAAATGGAAGGTGAGGATTTGACTTCAGAACAACAGAAAGAGCTGAATGAAATCAGGAAAAAGAAAAGTATATTAATCCGTGAACATAGAATCAAGAAAAGCACAGCTGAAAGCAGACCAATTGTTCCAAGAAAATTCGATAAAGACAAAAGATTTACATCAGAAAGAATGGGGAGACAGCTGTCATCATTAGGGCTTGATCCATCAAAAGCAATGAAAAGGGTGAGAAGTGAGTCGAGGGGTAGAAAGAGGGAGAGATCATCTGATCATGGTGAAGGAATGGATGTGGATGATGATGAAGGGTCAAATAAGAAGATGAAGATGAGGTCAAAGTCAAAGTCAAGATCAATGTCAAGGCCACCTGTGCATGAATTGGTTCCAGGAGAAGGGTATAAGGATTCAGCTCAAAAGGTGAAGGCGTTTAAAATGGGAAAGAGTTCGGTTCACAAGAGGAATAAGGCGGCTAAAAAGGGTGAGGGCGATAGAGTCATTCCGACATTGAAGCCTAAACATTTGTTCTCTGGGAAAAGGTCAAATGGGAAGATTAGTAGACGTTAAGCACATTCAAGGTACACTTTGGTTTATATATTTTGATTTATTAATGATTCTTAACTATATAGTGTGTTTATATTTTTTGCATCGGTTTTTTAATTATGATATTTTTTTTCTGCTTATGTGAAGGTACACGTTAATAATGGTGTTCTTAATCGGATCCTGTTACCATATTTTTGAAGTTGGATGAATAATGCACCTTTACCTGGTTTGTTTTGTTTATGGGTTTTGCTTTTTTTTTTGTTATGATTTTGGTGACAAGTTCATTGTTCTTTAGATTGATGCTCATTAGTGATTACACATATAGACAGTTCACGTAAGCAGTTGGGTTTTGTTAAACATTTGATGTTAACATGAGTTTTTATGTTATTTGTGGATGCTATGTTTACGTTTTTGTATGTGTTTTCCAACCATGCAACATAACAAAATTCTTTTTTTGAAGAAGTTTAAATTTTAGTTTAGACAAAAATACAAAAATAATTATATATATATATATATATATATATATATATATATATATATATATATATATATATATATATATATATATATATATATATATATATATATATATATATATATACTAGCCGTGTACTCGCGCAAAGCGGCGGACGGCGAATAATTTGATCTCTTTAGAGTTAAAACCATTTTGTGTTCACTTCAAGAAATAAATATTAAATGACATATATTTTTCAAGAGCATTACCATACCATATTAAGGGGGTGTTTGACTAATCTTTTTTTCAACAACTTATTAGGTTCCACATCACTATAAGTTAAAAAAGTGTTTGGATTAAAATAACTTATTCTGGTGGGGAACCTCTAATACGTCATTTTTTCATAAGTTACCCTACACTTACTTATTAATTTATAAGCTAATAAACTAATAAGCAATAAGCTTTTTTGCCAAACACACCCTAAATGGTTATTACTTCCATTTATACATACCCAAACCACTTGTACTGTTTATCGCCCTCTTTTTTTTTCGTTTTCTTTAATTCCTTTATTAATTTAATGTCCTACTAAGTAAAATGCTAAAATATATAAATAATAGTTTATAAAAATAAATCTTTAGAATATCAGGTATTGTGATTCAAAAGTCGATAAATAGGCATTTGAGAAGGCCAAAATACTCAGGTGTCAACTTGTTCATTGTGATTTTAAACCAAGTTTGGTCACAAATTAAAACATTTTCAACGATGGTATGTAATTCAATGATTCATATTGATTTAGGTTCTCGAAACCTTAAAATATTGAACAAAATCTATATAGAACCTTATAATAAGGACAATAATCACCGTAATCAGGAAGTCAATGTGATGAAACTTGATATTATAAGGACCAATGATGAAAAAGGTTTCATTTTTAGACTAAATAAGATGAAAAATATACAAACTACCTTAATTATGTCAAATCTTGTATTTAACCGTTCTTTATTGTAAAAATAAGATGCCAAAATATACAAACTAATGATAATACAATGCTCTAACTGACCCTCTTGGTTGAGTTCTTTAAACCTGCAAAACCAACACATTAAAGAAACATAGTAAAAACATTTTTAGGAACAAACCTGATATAATAAAGCCTTCACCCAATATATTTATAAAATAAAAATACAAAAAGTTAAAAATGATGAAATCAATTACAAAAAACGATTAAAATAAAAACCTGTTAAGAAAGAGTCATCTGCAGGAGGGATATTTGAATTAATATGTATTTTCTGATGGTTTCAAATTTTGAATTATCCGAAATTCAGGGAAGAAGATAGAATTTGTTGAGAATTATAAGGATTCAAAACACAGGTTAAAATTTAATATTATTTTATTGATGACTACTTGTACTATTAGCTTAATGATTTGAACGTCTTAGAAAAATAATATTATTATATTCAATCTATTTTTAGAAATAGTGAGATTTCTTTTATAAGATAGTAAAGATATATATATATATATACTAGCAGTGCACCCGCGCAAAGCGGCGGGGCGTGTAAATTCTTTTAGTGATATGTTTCCTCTACAAAAATGTTATGTTACAAAAGAAAGTACACGTCGAAGACAAAATAATCAAACTATGGTGTTATTTGGGAAATGAAGTCATTTTTTGTTCTTGGACGGTGGACTTTATAGTAGAGGAGGGAGCAAAGAGGTATATGCGATTGGAGGGATATTTGAATCAACATGCTAAATTTAAGGATATCTAAAAGGGTTCAAAATTTGAATGAATCCGAGATTTGAGGAAACCATATCAAATTGTTGAGAAATATAAGGAGATTTGATGATAAATATTTGAATTCAAAATATGGTTAAAATTTAATATTATTTTATTAATGATTACTTGTACTATCAGCTTCATCATTTGGACGTCTTAAAAAAATATTATTATTATAATCAATCTATTTTTAGAAATAGTTAGATTTCTTTTATAAGATAGTAAAGATATATATATATATATATATATATATATATATATATATATATATATATATATATATATATATATATATATTTAAGTGTTAGTTCAAACCATTTTTTTTTTAAATCATCGGTAGTTTTTTGATCAGGTAGGTGGTTTTGGCCCTCCCAAAAACCCTTATTTATTTATTTTCTATTTTCATTTATTTTTTGGAAAAGAGTAAATTACACCAATTGTAGGTTAGGAGTAACCTGTGTCTTTGATCCTAACTTTAATTTTTAACTTAGTTATAAGTTGGATTTGTTTCGGGTTTGATCCTTGATATAGCTAAAAAGACTAATATATCTTTATTATTTTCGTTTAACATTATTTATTTATTAATTATATGTATTTATTATTTATGTACATAAATTTATGTATTTATGAAAAGAATATGGCCCACATATCAGCATATCCTTTTTACCAGCACACCATTAAACCCAAGAAGTCGTCGGAGAAGGTGAATCTTACTGGAAGAAGAAGAACACCAACACTCTAAACCCATCTTAAAACGCTCACTCTCATCTCCAATCTTGAATCAAGTTTCAGCAAAAGGATGGATTAAGTTTTGTATTCCGATTCTAAACAGCAACAAAAACAATGGAATAAGTTGTTCAAGTTTTTCACTGTGACTTTTTCACCATTGTCTGATCACCAACAAAGTTTTGATTTTATTATTTATTATCTATCAAAATATCCCCAAAATCAAAGTCACGATGGTCAAAATTAAAGAACATTGAAACCTTGGTGAACTTACTATTGGTCAAAATCAAATCATACCATTTTCTGATAAAGAAATGAAGGAATTAGAGATTGAAGATGGAGATGCAGATGAAGATAGCGATCTAATTACACATGTAGTGATTTCTCTGTTTCTCTCGATCAATCTCTATCTCACTCATGAATTTGACAGAGAAAAAAGAATGGGTAGGCTCGGAGGAAGAAGACGAGGTATTGACCACGGGTAATTCTATATACACGAACAAAAATCTAGGTCCTCCTATATACACGAATTATATACACGAATTATTGGTGTATTGGCATTGAATTCCGTGTCTATGTAAATTAATCACTCTTTTTAATTCTTTTTGTCAAACTTTCAATTAGGGTCCTCTAATATACATCAAATTTATAATTTTCCCCTTCTCTTTTGTAAAGTTTTATATATTAGGCTTCTACTTTTATTATATATATATATATATATATATATATATATATATATATATATATATATATATATATATATTAAAATGTTAACGTTTATCATTAGGAATTTAAATCCATTTTAAGTTTATTTTTTACTACGATATATTTTATCATTTTAAATTTATAATTTTAACGATCGATTTATTTGAAAAATTTTAACTTGTTTCTAGTAACATCTATTTAACCATCCTTACGTCAAATGTCAAGCCTTATATATATATATATATATATATATATATAGCAGAAAACATTTATATTTATAGATAAAATTATAAGTTATATGAAACATTAACAAAAATAGAATGGATAAAAATAAAAACTTGGTTTCAATTTCTTTCAATATATAGACCATTGATATTTCTTATATGTTAGACTGAAAGCAATTAACAATGTCATTTTGAAAGTGACTTTCGTTAAAAGCAAACATACGATATTTGTTATAAATATAGATCATATTAAATGGCTATTGTTTCAATGAAAGTAACTATTGTTTCAACGACACATTCCCATTCGAAACGGATATTCATCCAATGGACACAAATGAAGCAGATGAAAATCAAATGGACACAATAAGTATTTAATAGTTTAAAATTATATATATAAGGCTTAAGGAATATGTGGCTGTTATGTACCTAATATTAGGTATAGATCCATTAAAAACAATATAGTTTTAATAAAATACAATCAAATCTCTCTACTATCTTTCTTGTATTCATTTTCCATATAACTCTTACCTATATATATATATATATATATATATATATATATATATATATATATATATATATATATATATATTAATATAAAAGCTAAAGTTTCAAAAAGTATAAGGTATGATATGAAAATCAACTATAAATATAAAGACATTTAATGAAAATTGAAAAGTAAACGTTTATTTAGTTTAATATATTAAAAAGTGTCAAAACTTTCAGTGATGTATATCGAGTCAATCAAAAATTCGTGCATTTGGAATTCAAGTCGTGCGGTTAAAATTCGTGTATTTGGAATTCAAGTCGTGCGGTTAGAATTACCATTTGATTGATTATGTTTATTCAGTCAAATTTTATTTTAAATTTAAACAAACTGTTTACATAATAGGAATTTTCATTTGTCACCCTTCTATTTAACTATGTATTTCAAAATTCACCTTTTACTTGTTTAAAATATATTCCACACCTCCATTATTTAAATATCATTTATATAATATTACAGGGGAAATGATTTTTTTCTACGCATATTTTTTTGTATGCAATTAACAATGAAGCTCTTATTGGCGATTTCTAAATGTATTTTGCAAGAAAATGATTGATTATATTTAATGTAGTCAAATTTATCCAAAATTTCAACAAA